AGAGAGAGAGAGAAGTAATTCAGTGCCAGCCTGGCATAGCCAAGGCCCTCAGTTCAATCAGTCCCAGCACAGCAGAAAGGCAGTTGTAGGTTGGTCCAGTTCATCCACAGAAGCTACAAGATTCCTCCTGGTTTTCCGGCTTTGTGACTTTCTCCCCTTCCCTCATTCTTCACTGTGGTTCTATTAGCCACTGTTGAAGCCTTTCTACATGGCCTTATATGCAGAGGCTCTGCCTCCACCTTCGGGCGTGGCTGGCTGTTCTGGGGACTGCCTTTCTCCAGCAAGGACTGAAAACCCTTTGTTTCCAGATGGTCAACTTAGTGTTGGGTCAAGGAGTCTTTTTGACATTTTAGTTTTTGAACTTAAATACATTGAAAATTTTGTAGTGTTTTTTCCATAAGACAGATACAAAGGCCAGGTGTAGGGGTGCACACCTGCAACCCCAACACTAGGAAGGCTGAGCCAGGAGGACTGCTGAGTTCAAGGTCATCTTGGACTACATGATGAATCTGAGGCCAGCCTGGACATTATGATACCTTGTCTCAAAAAAACAGAGATAGGGGGCTGGGGAGATGGCTCAGTAGAACAAGCACTTGCCTGGCAAGAAGAAGGGCCTGAGTTCAATCCCTGGTTCCGCAAAAAAAAAAAATAAAACACACACACACACACACACACACACACACACACACACACACACGCAAACCAGAGATAAAGGTTTGGACTCAAAGAATAGAACCCCAGGCAGATTAAGAATTTTGTTCTGTGAACAGGGCTAAGTTCTTACTTTGGGTGCAAGTCCATCCTTAGCACCACCCTTCATTTCAGCTGTGTAGAGTCTCCTGGCTTTTCTGGGCTGAAATGGCAAAGGCACCTTCAGAACAGAATGTTCCCTCCTATAGGTAGCAGCCCTCTCCGGGGATGCACGGCGCTGCCTGGATATTTGCCGGCGAGCCACAGAGATCTGCGAGTTCTCCGGTCCAAAGCAGGATTCACCTGGCCCAGTCACTGTGGCCCACTTAATGGAAGCTGTGGATGAGATGTTCTCGTCATCCTACATCTCTGCCATCAAGTAAGACACTCTCCCCAGCCTCCCTGGAAAGCCAGGGAGCTCTGCAGCCTGCTGAGGCTTCTTGTCTTCACAAAGACACAGTTTTTTAGGGGTATGAGCTGGGGAGGAGGGCAGGAATAGCAACCTCAGTCCGCAGGTGAATACTAAAGCCAGTAAATGGGAAACTCACTAACTCTGAGAGGAGTTTGCTGAGTAAAAGTGCTCTGGGAACAAGGAAGCAGTGCTTCAGATGGCGTCATCTGCTAATCCAGTGACAGTGACCTTTTTAGAACTTTCAGTGACACAGGGAGCCCCATAGCACCTGGGCCATAGCTTCCTACCACTGTGCGAAGCTCTGGCAACAAGGGAGTCAGCATTTGTGATAGGAAGAAAACTTGTCAGATAATACAGAAATGGTGCTCAGAGTTTCCTCCTTCCTCTAAAGACACCGAGAAGCTGGTTGTCCTCAGGGTTGGTGGTGCAGTGCGGGAAATCAGCCTACTAGGGGTGCCTAACTGGATTAAAGACACGACAGAGGTCATTTTGAAAGAGGGGCTGGAGTTGCCTCTAGTTGACAAAAAAAGCTGAGTATCTGGCTCACCTCACCTTTAACTTAGGCAAGACAGCAATTAGATTAATAGAAAATTCATCTGATGTTCAGTATTTCCAAAGTGTTCCTAGGTTAAGTATTTATCTATATGAGATCTCAAAGGGTCTAAACATAGACAAATAAGAAAGTAAAACTAATAATTACCTTGATTGGGTCAGTATATGTTATAGATAGGTATTGAAACATCCCACACAAAACATGTGCAAGCATTGTGTATAATTAAGGAAGCTGTTCTCAGAACCTTCTGTGTGCCGGCATGCTGGCATATTGTCTCGGGGGGCACAGCTTGCTTCCCTTCGTGTCCACAGAGGTCAGCCAGTCCTTAGGCTTTATGATTTGTTTTTCCCAGTGCAGCCTCGTAGGAAACTCACATCTTCTCATTTTCTTTAAGGAATTCCTCCGTCCTGGAACAGGGCTTTTTGAGAGCCATCCTTGCCGAGTTCCATCGATCCGGACTGGAGGAAGCAACGTTTCAACAGGTGATTTTGTTTCAGATCTAGATTTTGGTCTGGGGCTTTTATGATATGTGGAAATTTTAGTCAGTGTATAGATTTCTCTCTCTTTTTTTTTTTTTTTTGCGGAACCGGGGATTGAACTTAGGTTCTTGTGCTTGCCAGGGAAGCACTTATCATTCTACTGAGCCATCTCCCTGGCCCTAGATTTCTCTTTTATGGCAACCTATTCTAAAGAATATCAGACCAAGACTTAAAAATTAATTTTACATAATGGTTGTACATGTTTTGTGTGGGATGTTTCAATACCTATCTATAACATGTACTGATCCAATCAAGGTATTTAGTAGTTTTACTTTCTTATTTGTCTATGTTTAGACCCTTTGAGCACCTCTTTTTCTAGTTCTTCATAAAAACTCGTAAGAGGTCCTTGTAAGCTATCACCACTGAGCTGAGCAACACTAGTGCTCATGGGCTGTTTTACCAGGTGACAGGTAGATGTCTGTCTGCCTTTAGCAGTTGATCTCTATATATTCTATTGAAGATCTGCTCCTACCAGATATTCAAGGACTGAGTTGGAAAAGGCAGTCAGTCACTACTGTACGTACAGCTTATGTTACAGTGAAGACGGGGTATTCAAAAGGAGGCCAGGATTGGAGAATCAAAGATGAACCTGCATTTGCTCTCTTTGAGCATAGTTGCATTGGATTAAGTCAAAGCAGTCATGAGGGCTTGGGCCTCAGTAACTGATTTAAAACTGGTGTCAGGAGCTGGGTGTGGTAGCACATGCCTGTAATCCCAGCACTCAGAAATTGAGGCAGGAGATCCCCACAAGTTCAAGGCCAGCCTGAAGTGCAGTGAGACTCTGACTCAAAAGGACCAGTGTCTGTTGGTAACTGTCAGACGGTTGGTAACTGTCAGACAGTGGTCAGAAAAGGGGGCAGCTCTGCACATGGGAATGATATATATTTATTTTTTTTTTTTTTTTTTTTTTTTAAATCGCTTTTTTTTTTTTTTTTTTGCAGAACCGGGGATTGAACTCAGGCCCTTGTGCTTGTCAGGGAAGCACTTATTGTACTGAGCCATCTCCCCAGCCCCTATGCTGTATATTTTAGATACATGCACATAACTAAATTTAGACAAAACATTGCTGGTTATGTTTTGCCCTTTATTGTCCTTTTGGAGCCAGAGACTTCTGGAGAGTAACTTTTCTTGGAGTTTGTAAATATTTCCTGGACATCTGCTCCATGCCATTGACTATATCAGGTGCTGAGAACCCCAAGCTAGATGGTTAACGTCCTTGTTCTTGGTGCACTCCCTGCCTTGGTGGAGAGACAGACTCATAAATATTTAAACATAGAGTGATCAGGAAATTATGAATTTGCCTTGCCCAATGGAAATGAATGTTTACCAATTTCCCGTCTCTTTTTAAATCTTTTGTTTGTTTATTTATTTGGTACAAGGTTTCGCTATAGCTCAGACTTGTAGTGATCCTCGTGTTTTAGCCTCCTCAGCACTGGGATTACAGGGGTGCTGGCAGGCACTGGGGATCAACCCCAGGGCCTTGTGCTTGGCAGGCAGGTGCTTAGAAGACTGCTGAGCTATCTGCCCAGAACGTCTCTTTCTTTTTTCTTTTTCCTTTTTTTTTTTTTTTTAAAGGGGCCTTTCCCTGATTTTTTTTTTTTTTTTAAGATCTGAGTTAGACTTTTTTTTAAAATCTGAGTTAGAACCAGGGTCTTATTAAGTTGCCAGGCTGGGCTCAAACTTGTACTTGCAGTCCTCCTGCCTCAGCCTCCTAGCTTGCTGGGATTACAGATGTGCACCAGCACACTCAGCAGTATGCAATACATGAAATACAAATTGAAGCACATGAAAGTGAAGTAACTTGCCTGGTGTCGCATGTGTAGGTGAATGACGGAACCAGGAATCACCCTTGCCATTATCTGACTCTGGGGCTGGCATTCCTTTCTCTGATGCTTTTTGCAGTATTGGGTCTACTTTCCACAGAAGAAATAATCAGATTAAGACTCACAGCTGTCTTTCCTCTTAATCTTTGCCTTGCTTTTTGTGTCTAGATATACAGTCAGCATGTGGCTTTGTGCCGAATGGAGGGGCTACCCTACCCCACCATGTCAGAAACCATGGCCGTGTGTTCGCGCCTGGGCTCCTGCCGCCTCCTCCTCATGGAGCCCAGCAGGAATGACCTGCTCCTCCGGGTGCGGCTCAACGTCAGCCGCGATGATGTGCTGTACGCACTGAAGGAAGAGTGAAAGGATTCCATGGGGTCTGTTTCTTCACTTTTGGTATGTGTGTGTGTATTGTTTTTTTTTTTTTAAGAGAAAAATAATAAAGCAGGGGTCAGGGAGATGGCATAGTGGAATAAGCGCTTCCCTGGCAAGTGCAAGGGCCTGAGTTCAATCCCCAGTTCTGCCAATAAATAAATAAGTAAATAGATAGATAGATAAAATCTGCAAGTTCAGAACACACAAAAAAATAAAGCAATTTCAGAACAAAATAGAAGGATAACAATGATTAACACATTCTATGTTGTTATCTTTAGTTACTCTGAGTACAAAATATCAGCATTTAATTGTCCACACAATATTAACACAAATCCTTCTTTTCAATGAACTAAGAGAAATTAAAAGTGTAAGTATCATATATGTGTGTGTATAAATAGATATATTTTTCCCCCCTTCTCCATTTCTATCCCACTTTCCTTTTCCCTTTGAAGTTTCTTCCCATTTTGCAATATCTGTTGTACATTGTGTGTATCCTCCTGTTTTTAGCCTCCCCAGTGCTGGTGTGTGCCACTAAGCCCAGACTCCTTTACTGGCTCAGCACGCCCCAGAGGCAGGACTGGCCCAGCATGCCGGACTGGGGATCAAACCCTGGTCTCTGCACCCACCAAAGCAGGCACTTAGTCTGCTGAGCTATCTTGCCAGCTCTCTGCTGTACATTTTGGATTTTATTTATTCTTTTAGCTTCTCACACTGGGTCTTTTTTAAAGAGCCCAATTTCCTTTTTTTCAAGCACCTGAAATCGTAGTAAATGTTTATGTTTTGTAATTTCCCATTAATTTGTTCTTTCCCTGTTTAGGAAGTTTATAATCAACACAAACATTCAAACAGTGCCTCTAGGGCCTTCTTTTGGCATTTATTTTTGTTACCAGCCTAGCCCTGCCATTAATGTTAACCATGTATATAAATATATGTATGTAATATATTTGTATTCATATAAAATACTTTTGGGAGAATTTGTCTAGAATTGGTTACACATGTTGCTTTGATAAAGAACTGGATGGTTAAGGTCAGATTAGAAGACTTTATATACTACTGTATCTTAAATTTTTAGTAATATGAAATAAAATTGAGTTTATAAAGTAGAATTGCAAGTGTAGATGGGCATAATCTAAAAACATAAGCCCATTTACAGCACATTCCTCTTTAACCAATAATATGCCATCCAGAATGTTTAAATTATTGTTTACTAAATAAAAAACATCAACTTGTAAAAATAAATAAATAAATAAAGTAGAATTGCTAGGAATAACGTAGTTTAGTTATTGGGTGCTTCACCCCTGCCAAGGTCCTCAGTATATTTCCAGACTTAGTTCTACCATTAGTTATTCCATTTGGATAATGTGACCATTTTGCAACATTTTGACTAGTTAAGTACACACATTGCTGTTTTCTTCATCCTCTGAATCAATTACGTCTACAATCCCTGCGTCTGTATCAGTTCATTCTTGCTCCATTTCACTGGGAACTTAGGATGGCCAAAGTTGTCATCATCATTATATAACCATACCAATCTTGTTATGAAACTGTATTTTACCATAGTGGATCCTCTTCATCATCCGTGCTTGGCCTGATGTTTTACTTCTTTTTTTCCCTCAGGTCTGGGGATTGAACCCAGGGCTTTGTGCATGCTGGGCAAGTACTCTACCATTGACTACATCCCCAGCCCCTAATGATTTACTCTTTTTTTTTTTGGCAGAACCAGGGATTGAACTCAGACCCTTGCGCTTGCAGGCAAGCTCTTATTCTACTGAGCCATCTCCCCGGGCCCCCTAATGATTTACTCTTGACCTCCTCTAAAACTTGCAAATAAAGTTTTTCATGTGTCACTTATTGGGCTATTTCTACTAGGAGGGGGGGAACCTTTTTCAAAAACAAATCCTAGGGCTGGGCATGTCCATGTCTAATCCTTGGGAGGCTGAGGCAGGAGTTCAAGCACATTCCTGAACTACTACATAAGCAAGTTCAAGGCCAAGTCTGCACTACACAGAAAGGTACTATCTCAAAACAAAAGCAATCCCTAGAGTGATGTGAATATAATATATACGGTCTGCAATGCTCAGGTAAACATGCAAAAACTGCCCTGTGGAGGATAAGAGGGTGTAAAATTCTGCTGTGACACTTCACACAGGCACGCACCTTGCCTTTCCTTGTACCAAGTGTGTAAACACAAAGGTTGCTTCCTGTATCTCTCAGGGAAGGTACTGAGATGCATAGCCAGCTACTATTAAAGTACAAATTTATAGTAGAAAAATAAGGGGTATCTGTGGGAAACCACTATTACTCTCAAGTGATTAAAAGGTACCATTTAGAGAAACAAATCTTGAAATATAAAAGAGGTATGTGACACATAAAATATAAAATGCAGGACCAGAGAGATGACTTAGTAGAATAAGTGCTTCCCTGGCAAGTGCAAGAACCTGAGTTCAATCCCTTGTTCCGCCAAAAAATAAATGCTTAAGAATAAGCCTAGTAGGGCCAGCCAAATAGCTCAGTGGATTAAAGTGCCTGCTTACGCATATACAGGGACTAGTGTTTGATCCCCGGCTGTGATGTGCTGGCCCTGCCCCCAGGATGCACTGAGAGGGTAGTCAGACTGGGCGTGGTGGTGGCTTGTGCTTGTAATCCCCACGCTTGGGAGGATGAAAACAGGAGGATCACTACGAGTCTGATCTGTGTAGTGAGACTCTGTAGTGAATACAAAAAATAAAAGAATACATCTAGTAAAAGAGAGGCAACCTGGGGGCTGGGGAAATGGCTCAGTAGAATAAGTGCTTGCCTGGCAAGAGCAAGGGCCTAAATTCAATCCCTGGTTCTGCCCAAAAAAAAAAAAGCAACTAATCTATATACAAGTCTCCATGGAGTTTTCTTTTTCTTTTTTTTTTTTGGAGACAGGGTATCGCTGTGCAGTTTGGGCTGGCCTTGTGCTCAATTTTGTAGCCCCCATATTGATCTCGAATTCAAAGCAATCCTCCTGTCAACCTCCCAAGTGCTGGGACTGTAGGTGTGCGCCACCAATCTCCATTCCTCCTGCCTATCATGTGCTAAGATTACAGATATGAGCCACCACACCTGGTTCCACAGGCTTTCTGTATGATTTTGCAAGTTAATTTCATTATATGGAAGTCAAAAACAGGACAAACATATCTGAGACATCCTGTGACACATCAAGAAATCTACCTCATCTGGAAATGTTTGGATTTATGCTACTGATAAAATTATCAAGACAACTCTGAATTGAGGGAGAAATGTTCTAGAAAACCACTGTTCCACTTACTGAAATCATCACAAGATAAAAAATAGACCAAACAAAACTCCAAAGCATGGGGCTGGTGAGATGGCTCAGTGGTCTAAAGCACCTACTTAGAACAACCTTAGCAAAGCACAGGGACTGCGGTTCAATCCTCCAGCACCACATGCCAGCCAGCCCCGCCCCCTGATGGGCTGAGCTGGCCACACACACACACACACACACACACACACACACACACACAAATAAATTTTTAAAAAAACTCCAAAGCATGGATGGTGGAACCAATCTAGACCAAAAGAAAACACAGACATGAGGGCTAAATAAACGCGGCATGGTAGTAGTGTGTGCAAGACAGGAAGATCATCGTGAGTCTGAGACCAACCAAAAGAACTGTACGAAGCAAGCAAGACCCTGTCTTAAAAGCTAAATGTACCATATAAATCTTGACTGGGTCCTAAATATAGGAAATACAAATAATTGTAAACATGAACTGTGTTCATATTGAAAGCATTAAGTGTTAACATTTCCTGAGGTTTTGTAGAGAATGCACTCAGGAGATTCAGGATAAATGAGTTAATTGTCATAATGACTTTGTTTACTTCTGAAATAGTTCAGCAAAGATATGCATGTATTTGTGAAAGTATCTCTACCCTAACAGGCTGAAGGTTTCTGTACCAGACTATTTTTAAAGATTTATACAATTAAGAAAAAAAGCATGGGAAAAAAATCCAAAGAAAAGTGACCAAAACTAAAACGTTTCACAATGGACTGCAAGTTAGATCCACCCTACATCTGTTAGATAACTCATCCATCATGATACAGAACACTTGGAACCCAAATGCTGCTCCACTGATGAGACCAGGCACTTTGGGGGTCATTTAGTCAGGAAAATGTAATCCTATGAGCCAGCAATTCCATCCCCAGGAATATAATCCAGAGATATTCATTTGTATATAAGACAAGTTAGGAACAAGGTGTTTAGAGCATGCTTTGTAATGGCAAGTCCCTGGGAAAGGAACTTGTGATCATACTCTGGAATATCAGAGAAAAGTGAAAGTCAACGTGTGGACGAAATTACAAGGTTGAATAGTAACAATTATGTAGTATGAGAATAGTAACAGTTAAAAGCTTGCGAAAAATACCACACACTTCTTAAGAATACAGGGATAGGAGCGGGGAGATAGCTCTGCAGTCTAAGTGCCTGCCTGGCAAGTGCAAGGACCTGGGTTTGATCCCCCATACTGCACTCTCTACTGGCCCCCTGCTGGCCACCAAAACCAGGCATGGTGGTGCAGGCCTGTAATCCCCACACTGGGGAGGCTGAGACAGGAGGATCACTATGAGTCCAAGCTTCGCAGCAAGACTCTACCAAATAAATAAAAGGTTAAAATAAGAATTAAGGCATAGCAGAAACACAAATGCTCAGGAGATACAGCACATTCAGCATGGTAAATGTCTGAGAAAGGTGGGTATTATAGTGTGGGACATGTTCAGGTGGCCTCCACTGTACCGTCGTGTGGTGTGTGTTCAACTTGAAGGTGTCCATGTAGTTGTGTTACCTGATAGGAAAAATAGACTAGTGGGCTGGGGAGATAGCTCGGTAGTCTAAGCACCTGCCTGGGAAACGCAAGGACTGGGGTTCGATTCCTGGTACTGCATTCAGTGCCAACCCTGAAACCAGAGGTGGTGGCACAGGCCCGTAATCCCAGCGCTGGGGAGTCTGAGCTGCGTAGCAAGATCCTGTACCAAATAAGATTTTTTATAAAAAGACTAGTGCGCATACTGTGTGCCTCACTGTGCTCTAGCTACTGAAAGATACACAATGTTGTGTATATCTTAAAGATTTTTTATAATAATGCGAAGATAACTTTTAAAGAAGAAAAATATCAAAGTGAACTTTCAGTATAAAAGTGAGACCAGGCATTTGGGTGTACACCTATAATGATTCCAGCACTTGTGAGGCTGAGGCAGGAGGATGGATGCCATGAGTCCAAGACCAGCCTGGGTTACATAGTTCAAGGCCAGCTTGAACAATATAGCAAGAATCTGCTTCAAAACAAAACAGTGATGAAGCTGATCACCTCTAGAGAAGTCAAAAGCAACAAGGAGATGGGAAGACTGGGTGTGAGAACACAGATCTTAACTCTGGGAGGCTGAGGCAAAACAGCGTGTACACACACACACACACACACACGAAAAAGCCAAATGACAGTGTCCAAAGAAACTAGATGTGACAATCACTGCCAAAACCCAAGTTTAAGGCGCAGGCAGAAGTGGGGTGTGTGTGTGGCCATGTTTTAGCCGGAAAAGGCGAGAGTTAGAGCCAATCTTTTGACGCTGAACAGGTGACTCAATCTCTTCCGGGGATGATGTCCATCCCGCGGGGCAGTAGTGGCTAAAATCCCGGGTGTTCGGGATTAAGCTCAGAGCCTTCACACAGAACTACATCACCGGCCTTTTTATTTGTTTTCTGAGACCGGGTCTCTAACGTCTCAGGCTGGGCTGGAACTCGCGATCTCCCGCTTCCCAGCGTGCCAGCTCGGATCACAGACCCGCCCCACCGCGATGGCCAGTACCGAACGCTCTGAAGTGTGTTCCAGAGCGCACGCGCTCTTTTCCGGTCTCACCTGAAGTTTCACCCCGCCCCGCCGCCCGGAAGGGGGACCTGCAAACGCTCCACTGTGAACACCGCGGCGAGCTCTATCTCACTCCCCGGACACCTGAGACTGAAGGACACAGGCGGCCGGCCGTCTGCACTTCCACCTAACCCTCGCCAAGGGGACCGGCCAGGCGAGCTGGCGCCAGGACGGAGAGAGGGCTGGCGGAACCGCTACCGGCAAGGGAGGGGCGCGCCTGCAACGCTCGCGCACCCAGACGGTAGCCCCTCCGGAGAACCCAGGTCGCGACAGTCGCGGGGTCTCGCGCTACCTGCCTGAAGGCGCCTGCGCACTGTAACCCTCGCCCGGTCACCTGTCGGCGAGCGCCGCCCCGCACATGCGCACGTTGCGCTGTTGCCTTGTGGTCACGTGCAGGGCGCGAGCCGCCTCCCGGGCGGGCGCTTCCTGTCGCTGCCTCCACCGCCAGGGGCCGCGGGAAGCCAGGGCGGTGCCGGGCCGGAGAAGGCCCGGTTTTGGTCGGGTCCGCCGCGAGGTATGGGTTCGGATCTTGCAGACGTGGGGAGATCTGGGGACGGCCGGGGAGATGGAGGCGGCGTGGGCAGGACCGGGCCGTGCGCCCCGCCGCGCGGGAATGGGGGCCTCGGCTTTGCCTCCGGTTGCGAACCCCGCTGCCCACGTCTCCCGAGCCCGGGCCTGGGTCCAGCCCTCGCCGACTTGCACAGTGTGACTGGCCCAGTCGTTTCCTTGAGCCCACGCACCCCGCGATCCACCCAAGTCACTGAAACCTGACACGCGAGACTTCCCGAGCGCCCTCCGAGCGTCAGCCCCTTGCCATCTCAGCTCTGTGACTTGTGCCTCTGGTTCCCCACCCCAGCCACCTCGCCGCCTTGCGGCCAGGGGCCGGATGCCCCACTGTTTCCTGTGCACCTTCCCTCCAGCAGTCACAGTGATGTTCCGGAATCGCCGGCCTGAGCCCGCCACTTTTCGGCATTGTCAGAATAACGCCCAGATTTCTTTAGGCTCCAAGTTTCTTCTGTTTTGCCCCCTTGCTCGTGTTTGCGTCTTAGCTTGCACCGTGTCTGGCGCTCGGTTTGGTTTGAGCCCCAGTAGTACCAGGCCTTTAGTTTTATTTTGCAGCAATCTCCACGCCTCAGAACGGTGGTTGTCAGGTTGTTCCCTCTACTTGAGGTTCATTCTCCTTTCTCTGGAGCCTTCACGACTCAGCACAGGCATCACCTCCTTCAAGAAGCTTTCTAAAATCTATGCCAGATGAGGATCCACCCCTGGGAGCCCGCGGCACCTGCTGCACCCTCACTCAGCAGTTGTCTGTTCATGGGTCTGTCTCCAACATGTACATGTTCCTTGAGGGCTGAGGCGGTGTCTGATTAACTTCTGCTCTCAGGACCCAGCATCATTTGCCCTGTAGGTCCCGCGAACTGTTGGGATGCCCGAGAAGCTGAATGCTGAGTCAGGTTTCTCTAGTATTAATTGTGCCACGGTGACAGCGTTCTGTTCTGTGCCATCCCATGGTAGCCAAAGCTGCTGGCTGTTGAGCACCTGAGATGTGTCTGGTATGCCTGAGGAACTGCACTTTTATTAATTTGGAGTTAAACCTCAGTCATCATATGTTGTTTCCAGAATGGACTTAAGTGGTTTAAAGCCTCGCCAAATCCTAATCCAGCTCTTTACCTAGAGCTGTTCCCCTGGCTCTGCCTTCCACGCTGGTTAGTCAGCTAGATCTGACTAGTCAGATCTATAACTTGCTCCTTGGGCAGCAGCTTCAGTGGCCTGGGTCTAACAGTGGTGGTGAATGGGGATGGGGTTTGGGGAAGTGCTGCCACTGTTGGGAATGCACTAACCACACTTTCCTTAGTGGCAGGATTCATAGTCTGTTCCACTCAGTCTCTTCAACTCCCCATCTGATAGGTACCTAAGCTACCAGGATGCCAGGGCCAAGACCTCGGAAGGGCCAAGGTGTAGCAGCAGCCAAGCAGGTATGAACATAGTCTGCCTCACCACTGGGCCAATTTGGACGAGGAGCCTTTGAGTACTTGGCTAAAATGGGTCAGATTGAGTCACTTCTGTGGTTTTACCTGTCAGAGTTTGAGAAATGCCCTTGGGGACTAGACAGTATCATCACAATGGTGGAGGAGTTCTGAACTCCCTTCTAAGGTTTCAGCCCAGCCACCATCCTGCCTTGCCTTGGCCACTCCATGCAAGACAGCACAGGAGCCTCTGCAGTGGAAGGTGCTCTGGTGGCAGCTGAGCGGTCTGAGGTTCCTTATCCTGGCCATCTTGAGGGCCATCACTGACGGGAGGACCTTGCTGCTGAGGGACAGAGAGTGGCCACCAAAGGGGAGCCTGAGGACTGTTCTATTTCTCCCTTCATTTTTTTCTGGGCCCAAATTCTTAATATTAGTGTATTTTTATTGTTTTTAAAAAGCTGAGGGAAGTTGGCCCGACGGTTGTGGGTTATTGTTAAACTGATTAAAAAGCTGAGGGAGGAGGTAGAATCAAAAGCAGAGACTCAAAAACAGTATTTTAAATTTTGTCATTGAGGAGGCCTAGTTCTGAACACTGGCATGAAAAAATAGGACTAGGGGCTGGGGAGATGGCTCAGAATAAGTACTTGCCTGGCAAGTGCAAGGGCCTAAATTCAATCCCTGGTTCTGTGGAAAAAATAAATAAATAAATAAAAATAAAGGAGAGGTTTATTTATTTATTTATTTATTTAAAAATAGGACCAGTACTTAGAATAATCAAGTTAATGCACATGGAAATATTTCCCAGATGGGACGGAGGGGAAAATGGGGACTTAGTGCTTAATGGTACAGTTTCAGTTGGCCCACATGCAGAGGCTTCTGTGGGTGGATGGCGGTAAAGGTAGCACAGCTCTGTGGATTACTTCTTTGCCACTGAGCTCTGAATTAAAATGCATTGGGGTGGTAAATTTCACTTTATGTGTCTTTTATTGCAGTTAAAAAGAAATACTCTTCAGGATTATGGCAATTAACTAATGCAGAACATCATGACTAGTGCTAGCAGTGATTGCTGTTAGTGTTAGTAATAATGGCAGTGTGGTCTTACTGGGTTCTTTATATTCTTCATGGAGATAAGTATCCCAAGAGGTAATGTTGCAGGCCCCTTTCTGCACTGTGGTCCTCTCAAAGTAAAGGAGCCACTGACGGGAACATTGGGACCTCAAGTCTAGCTCTAGGGCTAAGCTCTGCTCTGCTTACTGTATGATTCCTAAGAAACCTTCTGTGCTGTCAGCTCGGGCTCTTTGTGGAGTTCAGCCCTGAAGACATGGTGCTCGGGATGGATGATGAGACTGAAGATGATGGAGACCTGGAGGCCGAATTGCTGGCCCTCACTGGGGAAGCAGGGACCACAAGCAGGAAGTCGGCACCCAAGGGGCAGGGTGAGTTTTTTAGCTTTTTTTTTTGGTGGAACCAGGGATTGAACTCAGGCCCTCGCACTTGCCAGGGAAGCACTTATTCCACTGAGCCATCTCCCCAGTCCCCAGGGTGAGTTTTTGACTCAGGGTCAGGCTCAGTACTGAGACCAGATAGACACAGGCTTGTGGTAGAAAGGGTGCTTGCCTTGCAGTCTTGAGAGAAGCCATCCAAATCCCTTGGTCCTTCTGATACCCTGTCCCTTCCTAGCCAGGGCCTGGTCCAGGAAGGATAGACACAATTAGGCACTTGGTACCTAGACATTGTGTCACTTGAATAGGTGGATTTTCTCTCTATAAGCAGGAACAGGGCAGAGGTTTCAGGCTTGGGAGAATTGAGGGATGGGGATTCTAAACCTTCCTCACTTTGCACCTGGACCCTTCAGAGAGAGACACTCCTCCTCTCCTGTGACCTTGAGCTGGGACAATGAGAGGACTGGGCTCACTGATCTGTCCTGTGTTAGGGTTTAGATAAGCCCGGATTTGACCTGGGTTCTGACATTTAGTGAAATTTTGAAGTTAGGAAGATTGCTACTATTAGTTTCTAATTTATTCACTGTGTAAAATAAATGTAATATTACCTATATTGCAGAACTGCTATGAAGGTCAAGTGTTCTCTAAAAACTACAAATGTGAAATGGGTAGCTCGGGGGATGAATGGATGCATTCATAAATCACTACTAGGAATGCAGAGAGAGGAGTCAACTTGTGCTTGTTGGAGATCCCAGAAAAGTGTCCCTGATAGGTGTCTTATGTGCTGAATCATAAAGAAGCAATAGTTTCCTGGGTACGGCTTTGGTGTAAGAAGGAAGAGGAATTTTTGTCCTGGTGTATCTATAATTTACTTACCTTGGACCTTATTTCAGTTGTCCTGACCTCTGACCCTGTTCCCCCAGCTCCTCTCCCCATGGCGCACATTGAGAAGTTGGCGGCAGACTGTATGCGGGATGTGGAGGAAGAGGAAGAAGAAGAAGGTCTGGAGGAGGATGCAGACCTGCTGGTGAGTCTGCCAGGCAGGTTGCCGAAGGCTCTGTGGTCAGGCTGCAGCACAGGTGGAAGAGAGGGCAGTAGAGAGGAGGCCTGGGTTGGTCCCTCTGTGTCTCTTACTTTGAGTGAGGACCCTGCCCTCTGGGCCTGTGTTCCAAACTGTGCAATGGGAGATTTGTCTTCTTTGACTTCTAGTCTGAGCTCTGCAATTGGAGATTCTCAGATTTGTTGTCTTCATTATTTTCAAAGCTATCCTTGGTTTTATTAATGAAAAGCTTTTGCAAAGGGGACTATGTAGAAGTCTTGATATTTGGATGATACTGGGGGGAGACCTTTATTTTCAGGTCCTGTCATGGGTGTAGCCCTGAAGCCCACATGCTCTTGGGACTTGTGTCTTCCCAGAATGAGCTGCAGGAGGTCCTCGGTACTGATGAGGAGGCTGGGCCCCTGGACAGCGATGAGGCAGCTAGTCCAGACCTCTGTGAGGAGGAGAAGGGACAGGAAGACAGTGAGCCTGCAGCGCCAGCAGCCCTGCTAACAGCATCAATCCGAGCAGCTCAGGTAGGCTCTGGAGGAGGGCCCTGTGTACCTTTGGTGCTCCTCTGTGTCTGCGTCTTCACATCTGTGCAGCAGGGCATGCACAGCAAGCTGCCATACCCCTCCTCCAGTAGCTGGCCCAAGTGGAAACAGCATGAGAAACTCCTGTGGCTGGCCAGCCTCAAAGGCCTCTCTGTTCTCCCACACCACCCCCTGCAGCCATGTCTTGGCCTCCACTGCTTGTCTGGGCCTGTGTTTGCCTCTGACCTGGCCTCTGGCCTCCCTAGTGGGTCTTTGCTACACCCCATGGGGCTTTAGGCTCTTCTTTCTTGTGGAGTCCCAGAGCTCCGTCTTCTGGGGCAGCTTCCTCACAGGGAGAGAATGGCAAGGGCCTAGCTGGCCTCGGAGTGGCCCAGCCCTGAGCTGAAGTATCTGCAGGCTGGAGGGCCTCGGGGGCTGCAGGCTCTGCTGGAGGAACGGATCCATAATTACCGGGAAGCTTCTGCCAGTGCCAAGGAAGCCGGTGAAGCAGCCAAAGCCAGGCGCTGTGAGCGAGGCCTGAAGGTGATGGGGCAGATCTGGAAGGAGGGCAGAGGGAGAGGGCTTTGGGGGAAGCAGCAGGAGGAGTCTGTACAATGAAGAGGCTGCTCCACCAGCCCTGCAGGGTGACAGATCCCTGGCCTATCTTAAAGCAAGGGCCAGGCTAAGATGGTTATCTAGGATTCTAGAAGACTTCTGTTCCTCAGACTCTGGAGTTGCAGCTAGCTGCTGTGAAGAAGGGCAGGGAGATCAAAGAGGAGGAGATCCCACCGCCAGTGGCCTTGGGCAAGAGGCCCCCAACCTCCCAGGAAACAGCCCACAGGAGCCCTGAGGCGGAAGTCCCAGATCCCCCTGCCTTGGAGCCAGGTATCTGGAGACCCAAATCCTGCCCAGTTCCCAGGGTCATTGCCTACTGCCTACCTCCTCAGCCTGTCCTTGCCCATTGCCATGACTACCTTCCCCAACATGTCAGACCAGCAAGACTTGAGGGGACTGGGACCCTCAGTGAGGGCTTCTTGTTTCCTATAGACAGTGTCTCCCACCTTGAGTCCAGCTGCCCTAGCATTGCTGCCCCACTGGATGCAGACCCAGACCCTCAGGCCCTGTTGTTGGCGAGACAAAGAGAGTACAAAGTGGCTGCCCTCAATGCCAAGCGGGCTGGAGAGCTGGACCGTGCCCGAGAGCTCATGAGGATTGGGAAGGTATGATTCCCAGCTCAGAGACCCAGTGTCTCATCCCTCTCTTTGCAGGTGGGGAGGTGGAGGCTCAGAGAGGGAGTCAGCTTAAGGGAGCGCTGTTGTAGCCTAGGCTCTCAGAGCCTATGTCCATCTACTTTTCTCACTGCTGCAGAGATTTGGTGCTGTCCTGGAAGCGCTTGAGAAGGGGCAGCCTGTTGACCTAAGTGCCATGCCCCCTTCACCTGATGGTCAGTATGGGAATTGTAAGCTACCTGCTTGGGTTAGGCTGGGGAGGATTATCAGGTTGGACCACTAGGCATCCTGCCTACATGTCTGCTTTGGGCCCCCAGACTTGAAGAGCCCCTCACAGGCTGCTAAGGCTCCTGAAGCACCCTCAGTGCTCCCCCCAGCACTGGAGCAAGTGCAGCCAGTGACAGCCTCATATACACCGCCAGCCCCAGGTAGGATCAGATGGTTGGTGGGGCTGTGGAGTGGGAACCAGGGAGGGACAGGCAGAGCTGATGCCCTCTCTCTTTCGCCTTTAAGTGACCCCTACAGAGCCACAGACAGTCCTGGATGCCCTGCAGCAAAGGCTAAACAAGTACCGAGAGGCGGGCAACCAGGCCCGGGCCAGTGGAGAAGAACGCAAGGCCCGGATGCATGAGCGCATCGCCAAGGTGGGCCCCTTTCCTTAGTCAGCTGCGCAGGTTCTGGCCTCTTTCCTTAGTCAGCTGTTCTCTGTCCTTGCTTCTCCTGCTGCCCTCGTCTTCTCCAAGTCTTTCTCTCTTAAGCGCTTGCTACCTTGAGACTGTCTTCAGGACTGATGGCTTTTCCTCATTCTTCCTTTCCCTGCTCTCTGTTGGAGTGTGTGAGCCGGCCTGCCAGCTCAGCACACCAGGAGTCCCTCGCTTCCTTCTCATTCAGCAATATCAGGATGCTATCCGAGCACACCGAGCGGGGCGAAAAGTGGACTTTGCTGAGTTGCCTGTTCCTCCAGGTCAGTGGGGTTTGACCTAGGGGCTTTGTGAGGAGGTCTCTGGGCCAGAAGGGTGGGAGGAAGAAACTTCTGTGTCTGCCTCCATTCTGGGGAGCCACTCCTCTCTGCCACTGCTAGATAAGAGTCAGGACCCACAGCAGCCTTCTCATGTGTCCATGCGAGTCCTGCATGCTCTCCCTGCTCCACCTCTTTTCACAGGGTTTCCCCCCATCCCTGGCCTGGAGCCCACTGTAGGCCCCGAGGAAGATTCAGTGGCCACAGCTTTGGCAGCTGCCGAAAAACTGGCCACCTCAGAGGATACAGCCCTAGTTGATGAAGATGAGAATGAGGTTCGGCTGAGTGCCCAAGGCTGCAGGGGTTGGTGGGAAGAAATGGTAACTGGGAGGTGAACCTGGCCGGCCCCTTTGTTCTATGCGGAAAAAGCCCAGTGAGGTTAGGTCTCCTTTCCACAATTTTAGGGGAAAAACTTGACCAGGTGTGGAGGTGGGATTTGGGTGTTTGTGATTCAGAGCCCAGGCTGAGTCTATTATCCTGTCCATTACCCTGCTATCTCTTGTTGGGGAGATTACACCAGAGAGCCTATGAGGCTTCTATTAGCTCTGAGATTTTTGTACGACTCAAAGAGGGTGAGCCACTTAGGTCAGGCTTAGGAAGAGAGTCCAAGGCTGGACACTGTCACCAGGCAGGTGGAGAGCAATCTCATGATAACCACCTGCGTGTTTGCAGGGTGAGCCCTCAACACAGGCCCCAGTGGCCAAGAAGCCTGCCCAGCCTCTGCTTCCTTCATCCCTGTCCCAGCCTGAGCCCAAGGCCTCAAGTTCTAGGGAGTCACTGAGTCCAACTGGTGAGCTGGGATTAACAGGGTAGAAGAAGGGAGGGTCACATGAGGCATGGTTGTAACCTCTCGTCCCACCCCTTCAGTGCGGGAGCAGCTGGCACTGCTGGAGGCACGGAAACTGCAATACCAGCGTGCAGCCCTACAGGCCAAACGAAGACAAGACCTGGAGCAGGCCAAGGCCCACCTACGGGTGGCCAAGGGACTTGAGGCTCAGATGGTCCAGGCCCGAGCCGGTCGACCTGTTGACCTCTCAAAAGTGAGTCTGGCCTGGTTAAAGCACTGGGTCATCCTAGGCAAGACACAGGGTGCAACTAGACAGGCAGGGTTCTGAGTAGGGCAGCTCCTTAGAGAGGTGGATGTGGCCTTTGCTTCTCTCTTTCATGCTGAGAGTGACCAGGGAAGGCACAGGGGCTGCCCCTGGCCAGGGAAGACAGGGCAGGTCATGGTCAGTGGGAGCAGAATACCTGCAGCTTAGGCTAAGTGGGAGGCAGTGAGTACCCATCACTGGAGGTTGTGGAATTTGAAGAAATATTTAGTTTGGATTCCGGCCTTTGTTAGTTCAGTAAAGGAGCAATCTGACTCTTGAGGCCCGAGGGGCCTTGTGACCTGGGCAGGTACCTTCACCCTTGACGGATGAAGAGGGCGATTTCATCCTCATCCACCATGAGGACCTGCGGCTCTCCCAAAAGGCAGAGGAGGTGTATGCCCAGCTACAAAAAATGCTTCTGGAGCAGTACGAGGTTAGTAGGGTGCTTGTCTCTTCCTGCTGTTTCAGTGCTTTCCTGCAAGACAGGTGTGGGGGTCCAAGGAGGTAGTCCTGGATTTTAATGCTGGTTCTTTATTTACTGATTATGTGACCTCAGGCAAGGCATTTGCCCTGTCTTAACTACACTTCCTTTGTGAAAGGGAATGGCAATACCTTCCTTCCAGGGTAGTTAGGAAGTTCCAACAACACAGTCAAAGGGAAATATCCAAATACTGCTGTGTGTGTCCTTCTGAACTGCTGCCTGTTTTTCTGAGAAGTCTGCCCTGTGAGACAGTGTTTGAATTAGGTTGTAAAGGAAGAACCGGGGGTTTGCTAAGAGAAGTTTGAATGACTTGGCTGGAGAGAAAGCCATAGAAGTATAGGCAGAAAGGTGTGGGACCTGGGAGCAGGGCCATTGGCATGTGTTGGGGAGGAGAGGTGAGGCCACAAAGTTGTTACCATTTTGAGAGGTCAGGCCCTGAAGGCTAGCCTGGGCAAGTCCTGCTCTGGCGCTAGAGTCACTCTGGGCCCCTGTTTTCAGAAATGCCTCCTGTTCTCCAAGCAGTTCATGCACCAGGGCAATGTGGCTGAGACTACCCGGTGAGTACTAGGACTCGGGCCAGAGTGTGGGTGGGGAGCAGAAAAGGAGCCTTGCCCTGCTGATGTGCACACGGATCCTTGTCAGGTTTGAGAAGCTTGCTCATGACCGCAAGAAACAGCTGGAGATCCTGCGGCTGGCCCAGGCCCAGGGACTTGACCCTCCCAGCCACCACTTTGAGTTGAAGACATTTCAGACCGTAAGGTGCCACAGCCTATGGGAAACATGGCTTTGTGTGAGACAGGGCTAGAGTGTGGGGGCTCAGGGTCTTTAGTGAGACTTCGCCAGTGCAGTGAGGAAGATGACTCAGTTTCTGACAGAGGACTTGGGTGGTAGCCGTATGCTTCTCCTGTGAGACCATCCAGCTGGACAGGAGGCACTGGAGGAGGGCATGCAGTTCTGCCACTTGCTTAACTTCAAGCTCTTCATTCTTTTTTGGCTGTAGGATCTTTTCAGAACTCAACAGCACAGAAATGCATCTAATCATTGTCCGGGGAATGAATCTCCCAGCCCCTCCAGGTAACACCAGGACTACCTCTATAGAAGGAAGCTCTTGTCTAACACCTGAACATCTGGCTTCTTGCCACTTCCTCTGATCTCCCTTCTTTCCTCACAGGGGTGACCCCTGATGACTTGGATGCTTTTGTGCGATTTGAGTTTCACTACCCTAACTCGGTGAGGATCAGGTAGAATTAGGGTCCTCTGAACCCCAGCTTCATTGCAAGACTTTGTGCCCCACTTTTATCCATCCCTGAGACACCTAGTTCCTTAGGGGTCACTGGCTTATTAGAGTTCCTGGCTCTGTGTACCTGTTTTCCAAGCTACCTTGACTTCTTTCTTCTCGTTGCTTTAGGACCAGGCTCAAAAAGGCAAAACTGCTGTAGTGAAGAACACAAACTCCCCAGGTGAGCCTCACACAGGGCTCCTTTATTTTCTCTCCTTGAGAAGCACTTGTGTTTCGAGAGTGCCCTCAGATCTATAGGCTTATTTTATTCACCCTTTTTAGGAAATAAAGGCAAGTTTTATTAACACTATTATGTAATTGGGGAAACTAAGGCTTGGAGAAGTAAAGGGATTTATCTAGGAGCTCATAATAAGAAAATGGTAGAAATGGGCCCCAGGGATCCTTACTCCAGATTCTCAGTCCTTTCCATTTTGGTTTAGTCTTCATTAGTTCTTTCCATTTTTGTATAGTCTTAGTCTATCAAGATACAAAGACCATCCGCTTCCAAGGCCAGGGCCTTGATGCTCTATCTCCTCCTGGTGGCAGACACACTGAATTGCAGGCATGAGATTAGAGGGGAGGCCTTCCCTGAGCCTTTCTATTTCCTCAGCAAATATTTAGGAGCTAAACCTCTCCTTGGGCTGGTGAGATGGCTCAGTGGTCTAAAGCACCTACTTAGAACAAGCTTAACAAAGCACAGGGACCGCGGTTCAATCCCCCAGCACCACATGCCAGCCAGCCCCGCCCCCTGGTGGGCTGAGCTGGCCACACACAAACACACACACACATAAATAAAATAAATTTAAAAAAATAAAATAAAATAAACCTCTCCTTGCCTTCTTCCCTTTTGCAGAATTTGATCAAGTCTTCAAACTAAACATCAACCGAAACCACCGGGGCTTCAAGAGGGTGATCCAGAACAAAGGAATCAAGTTTGAGATCTTCCACAAAGGGTGAGGTGCCTTCCTGTTAGTCACATGAGGTAGTAGGGAGAAAAGAACGGTATTTCTGTCACTGTTGCTGTTCAGTTTTCCTGCCCTGGGCTCAGCTAGTTCATTCTCACCTTCCCTGCCCGGTCTAATCTCTGTTGCTTCTTGGCTCTCTAGATCGTTCTTCAGAAGTGACAAACTGGTTGGCACAGCACACCTGAAGTTGGAGCAGCTGGAGAATGAGTGTGAGATCAGAGAGATTGTGGAGGTATGGGAGTGACCAGCTAGAGTTGTTGGTAAGAGGAGAGCAGATATTCAGGGAATGCCAGTCCTTGCTGCAGGTTTCTAGGCCTGTGACTTAATTTTAAATGTTCCATAGTGTGCTGTAGAGTACATAACTTCCCTATTTCACAGATAGAAAAGGTTCAGAAGATCTCAGAAAATTTCATTGTCAGCCAGATAGGAAGTAGCCATACTCTCCAAAATAGTCTTATGTGCCCAAGGGTGATGGGTGAGAGAGAAGACCACTGAGGAGTCTGTCCACTGCTATCAGTTTGGCACACAGAATTCTAGGTTTCTATGGGTGTGATTAGTAGTTTATTTGGCATCATGAGTTAGTAAAAGGGGCTCCAGAGCTACAGTTGATAAGGTATGTATTTCAGGATCAGAGACTAACCAGAATGCAACTAGTCTGTGCTTAGGAAATTAGCCTCTAGTTAGGTCTTTGAGCTGCCACGAATTTATAGGATTACAGAGAAGAGTTAAGACCTTGCTTTGGAAAGATGGGGAATGTCAGGCCAGAGGGAAGGGTGGTTCTGTTGGATTATATAGTGTGTCCTGGGCAGAGCCGGGACCAGATCCTGAGGCTTTCCCAGTGCAGTGCATCTGCCCCTGGCCCACTTGGGCTGCTGTCTGTGGACTGATTGTGTTTACACTCTAGCTGCCCCACCTCTACTCCCTGAAGGAAAGAGTAGCAGTGGGTAGGAAGGAACCCAACCTTAGTCTGCCACTGTCAGCTGCTTTTCCCTTGGCCATCAGTGAAGTGAGGGTTTAGGCTCTGGTTTATAGGTACTTCTTTTCTTCCAGGAATTGCCATGGGCATTGAGAACACACATGAGTAGAGATTTAAGTTTCTCTTCAAAGCACTGATGCTCATCTTGATTCATATATTGCTTCTTTCAAAGACTTCACCTATTCAATCCCTGGTTCCACAAAAAAAAAAAAAAAAAAAAAGACAACCTAAAACAGCCATGGCCCCACACACAGCAGAGGCAGATCTGTCCTGAGATGTCCATGTTAAGACTGCAGGGTATCTTAGTTCCTCTTCCTGGGACCGTAAGGCCCTGCCTGCCCCCAGCCAGTCCTCATTTCCCAGCTCCCATCCCATTGTTCTCACAGGTCCTAGATGGAAGGAAGCCCACTGGTGGGAAGCTAGAGGTGAAGGTGAGGCTGCGGGAGCCCCTGAGTGGCCAAGATATGCAGACGGTGACAGAGAACTGGCTGATCCTGGAGCCCCGAGGCCTGTGAGGTAGGTAGCTCTTGCAGCCTTCTGAACCTCTGCCCTTCCTGTCTGCCAAGGCTCACAGAGCCCCTCAGCTCATCTCTGGGGAGAAACCTCAGCTTTCATCTGTGAGGAAACCAACAGGCAGAACTATTGCATAGGGGTCGTAGGCTCAGTTTTTCATGTTCGTCAACAGAGCTGGGGAGGAAGACTAACCTTCTAGGGCCTAACTTTGGGAGATCATTTCTTAAATTGTTCACTGTGGTGCAGACTAAACCATGCTTTGTGCTCTGTGCATCAGGTGGTCAGCACTGGAAGAGGACCAGCTGGCGGGCATGTACCAGAACTTACTTTCCTAACTTTGCGGGCTGCAGAAGCCTTTGTGGATAAGAAAGATGCTGCTACACAAGCACCAAAGACCTTGTGAAGTACATGCCCTACTGACCACAGAAGCAGGAGCTCCCCCAGCTGAGGACAGTGTGGCAAGGACACCATCACTGCTCTGTGCCATGGAGCCCCATGGCCCCTTAACCTCTGCACAGGAACTGTGTATAGCTTACTCAGCCCCCAGTTGCACCATTTCTGGATGTGCCTTTAAAAGTTGTAAATAAGGGATGGGAGAACTTGAGGGTGATCGGAAACCTTCCCTGCTCGGTGGGGAGGGCAGGGCCTGTGACTCAAGTTGGCCAATGGTGGCAGCCTGTCTCCCTCGACTCAGTTCACCCCAGCTTTGCCTGTGCCTTTGTTCCTGACAGCTGCTGCACTAGCCTTCCTGCTTCCCAGTGGACTCAATGGAAGAGGAGTTACTTCTGGTACTACTTGGTGGGAAATAAGGGGAAGGTTGTATCTTGGGTTTGGCCCTTATACCTAAGATGTTAACTGGGGAGGAAATTATATATTATATATAAATATATATATACATATATATAAAATTTTTATGTAGCCAACTTTTATTTAAGACACTAGGCCTGATTCATTATAGGAAGTTTACATTCTACAAACATTATAAACCAGCTGTCTTAAAGCCCTGCTCTTTGGCACTGTTTAAGAGCCAGAGTAGCAGTAACATTTGCCTGCCACTGCTGTAGCTTCCTCACTGAGACAGCCCTCTGCCTGGGGCATACTTTAGTTCTTTCCAGTGAATTCTCCTTTGGCTTTTTCTAGGATAGAAATGATGAAGGACTTGTAATTGTAACAGGTTTAATATTCAAAACTCCAATAGTCTACATTTCTTAGAAATAAACACCCCTTTTAAAGCATTAGATTTAACAAAACAGTTTTCAAGACTATTTGTAAAAGGCTCTAAGTGAAGCAGATACATTCAGCTTGCTGATCACTATAGTATTGCATAAGCACAGCTCAAGGCTTGAGCTTTTGTTTTCCTTGGGGATAACAGGGTTGGGCCATGCTTCCCTACCCCTAACAGCAAAGTTTTTAGTGGCAACAGCAGGAACTACAGACTAGTGACTCTCCCAAGAGCTCACTGGTCAGTGTACTTACCTGTCAGAGTGAGTTACCAGAACTTTCATGGAGTAGAGATTTAACATTTATTTAAAGTTACATATCTTATGTCAAACCATGATCTAAAATCAAGGGGCTCATCAGGAGCAAAGCTAACCCAGCCTAGTTTTCCCCTTAGAGTCTGTGTCCAAGCCAGCACTTCACAATGAAGGGCCAGTGGGTGTATCTGCTAAGGTTTGGACAAGCCCAATTGAGGCCTCTACTGGAAATACCCCATTTCAATAGGGCACTTTTTTATGGCTCTAAAAATTTTCCTTTGTAACACACTTGGTTACAGTGGGCTTCAATGCTCTTTGCTCTTACAAAAAAAGCAAAACCTCAGGGCTGAGACAAGACAAAGCTATCCAGTGGACTTGGAAACTATGGTTCTTGAAAGGGGCCTTTGTTGTAGCAAAGGCTTGCATGGGTAGTGGGAGGGGCCTACTCAGCCTCCTGTTGTCCTAAGATTTCTCCAAATACTGTGACCAAACCTTGGAGATTTATCATTCATGTGCAGTTGGGAACCAGGCACTACATGAATCATTTTTAGACTTTAAATTCTTTGATCTAACGTAGGGCACACTTGCAAATTAATGAACTGAGTATGAAAGAAATTGACTTTAGAAGTGTTGCTCACAAGGGGCAAATTCATGAAGACAATATTTTTTTCCTCCATAGCTCCATTCTGAAACTTGCATGGTTGCTTCTAAATTTTGAGAGCTTGTTTTCCCAATATTTAAGATAGCCCCTAAAAGGCCTTGACTTGTAAGGTTAGCTCTTTTCAAGTCAGAACAGTGAGGTGGGGACTGGCACCCCACAGAGTCTCCCTGGTCCAGCCTCATCACAAAAGAACTTTTCCTTCCCCTCTCCAGACCTCAACTGCCTGGGCTTGAGGATGGGCATCAGTTTTCCTGTTCTACTCATTAGTCCCTTGTCCACATAAAACTACCCGTACAAATTCCATGACCACTTTAAATTTCTATTTTAAAGTAAACCACTATCAATTCTAGAATAAGTGTCTGAAATGTGATAAATGTTTAAACTTTCCAAGATGAATGACAGAAGTAAACTGAAGAGATTTGGGGCCCACCAGCAGGACCCACTGTGGATGGGAGAAGACAGGGAGATGGGAACTTACACCTCCCACTCTGGAATGCAGTAGGTGCTCAGAAAGTTGATAACAAGTGGAGAAACACTGCCTGGCATTTGGCAAGCATTCAATAATTTTAAAAATGTAACACATTGCTAGAATGGCAACTGTATTTCTCTTCAGTTGAGTGCTACAACTATTTTAAGTTTACAATCTAGAAAAGTTTGCCTTATTAGAAATATGCTCAGCATTCTGCTTTATATAATTATCATACACAATATATAAAGCTGAAGATAAACATGGGAAAAAACAAAGTAGTCTTGGTTTTATACCCAGTTCCATAAGGTGATTTTGTTACAAAGGGCTTTTAATTCAGTTGAGAGTGGACCTGACTAGTGGGAGAATTACAAAGCCTGCACTGATCCAGAAGTACTGTACAAAATGGCAATATGGATTTAGTAGAGGAAGATAAAGTAGAGGAAAATAGGACCATACTTCTGAGGTGTATTTAGACCTAAGCTGGATACTAATACCAAATATACCTGACCCTATTTTCATCAGGCTTGTGGGCACACACAGCCCTAGGGCTCAGTCCTTATTAGTGCCGCATGGGTTTAGGGGAAGCTTAGAAGCCGTATACCTCTGAGTCCATGTGAAGGGTCTTGTTACAGTTCTTGGTAGCTTCTAATGTCAATGCCTTTGGAAAGGCAGCTGTAAATACAACCCTTACCCCAATTAACAGACAAGGATGAACCCAGCCAAGGTTTCCAGGCCGGGCGTTCGGGTGTCTGGGAAACAGCTACTACCCTGAACTCAGCTCCATAGCATGTTACTGCCAAGTGCTAGACCCAGCACCAGCCACTGCGGAGCAGTCTCTCCTTGCCCATGGGCCAGAGATGGGCCCAGGGGCTTCACTGAAGTAGAGGACAACCTCTAGCATGGCCTGCTCTGGCCTTTCACAAGATTCCTAGTGACAGGAGTGAACTGCCCTACAGCAGTGTTCCTCAAACTTTTGGTTGTGGAATCCACTTGTCCACATTGAATCTTTTTCCTTGCAGAACTAGGTATTGAGCCTAGGCAACCACTGTACTATTGAGCTTCATCCACAGCCCTTCTAGGTTTTGAGATAGATCTCACTAAATTGCCTAAGCTGCCTGGAAATTAACAGTTGTCCTGCCTCAGCTTCCCAAATAGTTGGGATGACGGGTGTTCATTACCACACCTAGTTCCAAAAAAAAGTTTTGAAAAGGAAATTATCATAGCCTGCGTAAGCCAGACTTTCGTTTCTGGTACCACTCCCATTAAAAGAAACCAGGCTTCTTTGAAGAAATGGCTAATTCTAGGGAAATGAAAGTAAGTGTAAGATGTTGGAACTTGCCTGAATGTGCTCCATTTGGTAAAAACTGAGACCTAAGCACTAAAATAATAAATTAGAATCACTGAAAAAACAATTCATAAAACCACAATAGGGGCTGGTGAGATGGCTCAGTGGTCTAGAGCACCTACTTAGAACAAGCTAAGCTAAGCAAAACACAAGGACCTCGGTTCAATCCCCAGCACCACATGCCAGCCAGCCCCGCCCCCTGGTGGGCTGAGCTGGCCACACACACACAAATAAATAAAATAAAAATTAAAAAAAAAATAATAAAAAATAAAACCACAATAAAAGTTAAATGAGTAAAATAGGGAAGAAAGGGCTTCTATTTATAGATTACTAAGTTCAGATGGTAAATATGGGTGGAGTTCTGGAAATGATTTTGCAAGTGTTGTAGTGTATCAATACTGGTATGAAATAGTATATACTAAATCTAAGAACATTGATAAGCAAGATATTTACATGGTCTGAAAATGTTTTACATATATTGGTTATTATTTAGTGGGGCTGTAGTGGAGAAATTAAATAACACCTTGATCAGGCAGTGAGAGGCAGATAGATATAAATGATTTCTGGCCAAGAATGCATAAACTGACTCTTAAAAAAAAGAAAAAAAATGACTCTAAACATCAAATTCAAAATGAGGTATTTTTCTCTTATAAAACAAGATGGCTCTAGAGGCCTACAGTCACAGAAAATACCAATGAAGAAAGATAAAAGCAATCATAACAGCTACATGCTGTCCCTAGGCTAGAAGGATTTGGGGGTGGGAGGGTATGCTACAAAGGACATGACAGACACCAGGTTAAAACATGACATCAATGTGAACTTGGCTAAACTGGTCTGTAGTTATAGAAGACTATCCATATAAATCCATCAAAATACTTAGAGATAAAGAAGTGAAATTTAGGCAATTTAAATGCTTTAGTTTTTTTGTAGGGGAAAAACATCATAAGGGACACAATGTTAACATGTGAACAAGAAGTGTATCTGGGTAAAGAATACACAGTAGGGGTTTCTTGTAGCTTTCCTGGATGTTAAAATGCTTTTCCAATAAAATGTGTAAAAAAATATTTCTCAGGATATAATAACTAAAAATGCCTTGGGTTTGTTAGATTTCAAAGAAAGGCCCAGTTACACATTTGCCACTCACTTGGGCAGATCTCACGGGGTCCTGCCCAGCTCTGCTGTCTGGATGCCTCGCTTACACTGAGCTCCTCCATGAGTACATGCAACTCTTCCCTGGCTCCATGGGTCCCTTTGGTCTTTGATTCACTTTAATGAATAATGTGTAAAAACATATATATAATCTGCATGTGACTTATACTTGGTAAACAGCTGTGATGGAACAAAATCTGTGTGTTGTCCTCTTTATACCAATTCTGCAGAGAGAGTGCAAAACTGATGTTTCATGGTTTATTTTCCCTTTGCCCTCCCACCCCACCCTTGGTGAAGGTTGTACCCACTTGAGCATTTCTGAGCACATGATCATGACTAATCTGAAAAGAGTGGGGCGGAATTCTTGTCTAGACAGTAACAGAAGGGGATTAGCTGCAAAGATAGCGTAACTATTGTGCAGTAACAGAAGCTGTCCAGATCTTCTTGGTGGACGATGCATAGAAGACATAGAATTATGGAACATCTGTTCCCCCAACCACCCTTTCCCACCCTTGCCCCCCCAAACCCTCATTCCCACCCTCTCCAACCCTCCCCCCATTAATAGTGTTAACAAAAGCTTAATCTTCCAGTTTTAAAGTGCAAATGATTTGGGTATGACTGTTGTTGCAACAGGTCAGAACAGAAAAAAATGAAGTCTTCTCTATGCGATGTTCTCCAGAATATAAAAGATGAGTTCCATGACGACCGGGCCCTCACTGAGCTGGCAGGCCCCTCCATGGATCACCGGCACCAAGGCGCTGTCCAGATCATTCATGTACTGGGAGGGAAGGGGCTGGCCATTGCTCCCTGCTTGATAGCCAACCTACACCACAGAGAGAAGGGGATGGCAGGTTACTTACTAGGCAGAAATCGCTCCAGAGGGCTGAGTGCCAAGGAGACTGAATAGAAAAGTTAGTGTTCTCAATAGTTATGGCTAGACAATTGATAGTGGATATAAATTTCTCCTCTTCCCTGAAGTGTCATGCTGCATCCTGTCATTTATTCATCTAGGGCACTGGATAGCCAGAAGATCTTGGGCTAGTCACCCTGTTAAGATCTTTGTTTTCATGAGGACTGGCCAAATAGCTCAACGGATTAAAGCGCCTGCAAGCAGGCTCAGGGGCTGGGGTTCGATCCCCGGGCCTGCTGTGCCAGACCCACCCCTAGAGCATGCTGAGACAGCAACACACTGGATGGCAATTGAGACTGGGCATGGTGGGCGCGCCTGTAATCCCAGCTCTTGGGGGGCTGTAAACAGGCGGGTCACTATAAGTCTGATCTAGTAGTGAGACCCTGAACACCCTGTAGATCCTTCCCTAAAAAATAAAAAAATAAAAAAAATCTTTGTTTTCTTGGAAAGGGAGGCATAGAGAGTCAGAAACACTACTTTAACTTTTGAGTGTTAAAATCAGTATACAACAATGTCCAGCTTCCTAACACTGCGTTTGTTCTTCAGCCCATCCTGTCATCCAGGCACCATTGTCTGAGCACCTCAAAACAGGGATTCAAAGAACACAGGCCCCTGACCTCGAAAATCCATAAATTTCACAGAAAAATAGTTGTTCTCTACTTGTGTTATCTGAGAATTCTCTCTCCAGCTACACTATCAGTACCTTTGGAGACAGGACCATACTGCTTCATTAGCAGTACCTTAATATGCTTCCTAAAGCACTGGGCAATATCGTGTTTTTTTGTTTTTTTGTTTTTTTTTTTAATGTATTTAGGACAGGGTCTACAGGGTCCCACTACAAAGATCAGACTGGTAGTGATTCTCCTGTTTTTCATAGTCCCAAGTGCTGGGATTACAGACACACGCCACCACGCCCAGTCTCAGTCTAAGTCTCAGCACAGCCCGGGGGGGGGGGGGGGGGGGGGGGGCCAGAACAGTACACCAGGGATCGAACCCCAGCCACTACGCTCTGCCTAAGCAGGTGCTTTAGTCTGCTGAGCTATCTGGCCAGCCCTGGGCAATGACTTAAATAAAAAAACAAAAAACAACTTGTTGATTGATGATTAGTCAGACATATAACCTTTCATTCCCTGCTAGAGCACAGTTCTACACTTAGGAAACAGTGTCTGCCTGTAAACACTTGGGCTATGAGCAGCATTTTGGGAAATACTGGTAGTTAGAAGGCACAATCAAGCTGAGAACCAATATCACTTTCTAATAACTCAAAGCTAAAGGGCTGAAGAGATATCTCGTAATTGCAAGCATCAAAGCAAGACCCAGAGGACCTGTTGAAGGCATCCAGAATAAAAAAAAAAGGTAAGAAGATTAGGAGGGATTGGCCGGTGGGGAGAAACTCAGAAAGGAACTGGGCTTGGAAAATGGAGACTGGATTGTTATTTTGAAGAGCATAGAAAAAACACTAAGGAAGACCGGGAGGGGGAGATGGCTCAGTGGAATAAGTGCTTCCCTGGCAAGCGCAAGGGCCTGAGTTCAATCCCTGGTTCCGCAAAAAAAAAAAAAAAAAAGGAAGACAGGGAGGGAAGCCTGACATCAGCAGATTTGAACTGACAGAACAATTACTGTATTAGAGAAATAGTTCAATTCTTAGCCACAAACTAGCATGGAAATTCTGTCAGAATAAATTTACTAATAAATTTAACTGGACAGCTGCAAAGTCCAGTTATCAGAAGCCTGTGCCAGTAGGATTATGAAAATAAGACTAGAAGATGGACGTGGTGGTGCACACCTGTAATCCCAGCACTGAAGAGACTGAGGTAGGAGGATCTCTGTGAGTTCAAGACCAGCCTGGGATATAAAGTGAGCTCAAGGCCAGCCTGAACTGTGTAGTGAGACCCTGTCTTAAAAAGACAAAAAAAAAAAAAAAAAAAAAAAGTACAATTAGAGTGTGGCATGGTGGCACACACCTGTAATTTAAACACTTGGAAGGCTGAGGCAGGATTGCTGAACATTTCAGGCCAGTCTGAACTAAACAGTGAGTTAAAGGGCAGCCTGAACTACATATAAAGACCCTATCTAAAAACAAAACAAAACAAGATCAGTGATACTGTGGAACCTGCCCTCTAAGAGCATGTTAGAGGGTAGTGCAGATGCAAGTCACAGGTGGTATGAGGTCTTTATAGGACCTCCTCAGCCGACAGGAAGAAAGGCTTCTCCCTGGAATACAGGCAGGGAGAGGCCACTGAGAGTGCCTGACCAGGGAGCATGTCTGGGTGAATTAATATTACAAGAGGAGGAATCAGAATGTTCCATCTGCTCAGACCAGAAGGTCTACAGAGCTAAGCTTGGGTCAATTCATAAAAACTCACATAGTCCATAGACATCGCCCAAGGACAGCTTCAAAAGCAACCTAAGACCTTCCTTACCTGATCTGAGTCAAGTGTCACACGCAATCCCAGTTTTGTCATTCCATCTTCCTTCAGAAGCTTCAGGTGGGGACAGAGAGCAAGGCAGAAAGCCTTGGCAACATGCTCAGTGAGTCTGCTGTGATCTGCAGGGTCACTCAGGCAGTTATGCTGGTCATCGTTTTCCAGGAAAAACACCTGTTCTCCAAACAAGAGAGTTAACACTTAGGCCAGATTTTGGAAAACACAAGTGCACAAGTAGGTTGGCTTGCATATAGAAGCACCCTGATTCTCCAAGGTGTGCAAGACACCATGAAGTGCAGGATGCCATAAAGTCCTTGGGCTATGAAAAGTGAGACTTACGGAAACAGTCCCTGCTCTTGGTCCTGTATACACACTGAGAGTGGCAGTGCTTGTCTTCCTGCAAGCCTCCAGCATGATCTGAGGGTACATTCTCCTTAGAATCAAAATGCCTATTTTTGCACTGACACTTCTAATATATATATATATATATATATTTCTTAAGAAATTATCTGAGAGTCTACATGCTCTACCATAGGCTGGAGGTGGTAGTCCATGCCTATTATCCTAGGATTCTAGGAGGCTGAGGCAGGAAGGCCACAAATTTGATCCCTGCCTGAACAACTCAGAAAGACACCATCTCAAAATAAAAAAAAATTAAAAAAAAAAAAAAACACGAAAAGAAAACAGGGCTAAGGACATGGCTTATGGTGAAAGCCCTGGTTTCAATCAGTACCACAAGAAAAAGCAAAACAACCAGAATAGTTCTGACAGTATGATCCAGCCTCTTTTTTTTACATAGTATTTACGAAAGAGAAGAGGCTCAGTGAAGTACACAGAAGTACTCAGAGACACAGCCAGGACCATAATTCAAGTCCTCTGCCTTTTGTTGCAGAGCTTTGCCCACCATGTGGCACTGTGGAGGCCAGAGCTGTGTCCCTGTGTGCATGGTGAGAAGTGCAGCAAATCTGGAGCTGAGACCCGGGTCCTCACCACACAGAGGAAACTAGTCAAAGGACTTGTTTCAGTTCTTGTGGTTGGGATGTGCATGTGTGGAACAGGGTCTCCCTATGCCCTCAAACTCTTGAATTCAGGTGATCCTTCTGTCTGTGTCTTCCAAGTAGCTGAGACTACAGGCATATGAGCTATCACACAAGGCTTTCAAAAGACTACTTCTACTTTTTTCTTTTCTTCCTTCCCCTATTTCTCCTCCCTTCCCCTTTTTTCTCTTGATTTTGAGAACGGGTCTCAACTTTGTAATAAAGATTGGACTCAAACTAGCAGCAATATTCCTGCTTCAGCCTCCTGAGTGCTGGCATTACAGGCATGTGCCACCATACCTGACCTCAAAGGATGTCTAATTCTAATTTGCCTCTATAAAAAATGGAGAGCCATCCACCCTCTATATTATAAACAGTAACAATATAATCAAAATATAAAAAAGAAATATACACTAAAGCCCAGCTTCCTGCTCAATAAGAGGCCTATTCCAAGAATATTAACCAAAGGGCCATGCATGGAAGCTTTGAGGAGAGCTTTAGAGGAAGCAGAAGAGTATGCTGGCCCCTGCTCTACCAAGAAGAAGCGTTAGAAAAGGCTGTGTACTCATCTGTATTGTGAGATGGGAAGCCCACCTACTCCATTGAGTGACCTCAGAACACAGGAAGGGAATGGAGATCAAGCAGGGTCATACAGTATGAAGAATTTTACATGTTCCAGACTTTACACTGCTCAAAATGCATCAGGGATGATCACGACAAAGAAAATAACTAAAATCAGCTGTGTGTGGACACAAAGCCAGGTATGAATGATGAGTTACCTGAAACAACCAAGCCCAGACTGTGCCCCTATGCCATCAGGAAGAGCTGCACAGACCTCATCAAGAGACATAAACCCTTCTGCTCCCCACATCCCTATGTGTGAAGTGAGAGCCAGAAGTCACAGAATTAGAAAGACTTAAGACTTAAAGCTGAGGGGCTGGTGAGATGGCTCAGTGGTCTAAAGCACCTACTTAGAACAAGCTTAGCAAAGCACAGGGACCGCGGTTCAATCCCCCAGCACCACATGCCAGCCAGCCCCGCCCGCTGGTGGGCTGAGCTGGCCACACACACACACACACACACACACATAAATAAAATTAAAAAAAAAAAAAAAGACTTAAAGCTGAAAGGAACTCTACAGATTTTCCAATATCATCTTTTATTTTACAGCTAAGCATGAGGTTCAAAAGGATATAAGAGGGGCTGGGGAGATACCTCAGCGGAATAAGTGCTTGCCTGGCAAGCACAAGGTCCTGAGTTTGATCCCGGGTACCACAAAAAAAAAAAAAAAAAAGCAAAAGGACATAAGAGATCTATGTCTACCTATTTACTCTTAGAGAATCAATTTTCTGATCTGTGTGATTTGTACACACACAGGAGGTGGCATAGAAATTAATATACACTCAGTAAGGGACTGGGCACTGGAAGTCAGCAGAAAAATAAAGACATCAGAACTGTGGCTGGAAGCACAGCCTTCAAAGGCCAGGTTAAAGACGAAGATGTAAAAACCAGGCCTACATGCTGCTCTTAAGGAAGACGCAGTAGCTGGCAATTACATATAATTGGTATCAGCTGGTCCAGTAAAGTCCAGGTAGATATCAGTCACCCACGTGGGTGACCAGAGAATCCAGACCCATCCTTACCCGCAAACACCTTTGCTCTTTCCATGTACCCTTGCTACATGACCCACTTCACTACTGGATCAATATTCACTAAGAAGATATACCTGTAATCTTATAGGGTGAATATAGTTGTGCCCACCTCTTGATTTTGTATCCACCTCATGTCTTTGCTGTATAAAACATTCTTAGAGGAGTAGCCTCAGTGGTGACCTATGTCCAGGACCCCTCCTGTCTCTCAGGAACTATTCCTATTCCCTAATAATCCTTTCCTACTCTTCCTTTGTCCTTTGGACTTCATTCTTGAATTTCAGGAGACATAAACTTGGTGTACTTGAGATCTAGCAGGTTGGGAGTACATTTCTCCTGTATCATTCTCATTCCCAGAGGCAGACCCTACCACAGTCTTCATGTGAAGGAACAACTTAATTTCATGGAAAAGAGCTTAGTAGTTGGCCAGATCTACATTGGCCTTATAATTTTTGACAAATTATTTAGTTTCTGAGCTTTATTTAAAAATTTTTTTATTTTATTGGTTGTACAGATCAACGGGATTCACTCTGGCAGATTCAAACATGCAAACAATATACTTTATGAGCTTTAATTTTCTTGTTGTGAAGTAAAGACCATATTGTTGAGAGAGAGATTTAACTGTGAGTGCTGCATGACTGACCTAGTTTTCTGAAGAACACACTAAAGATATGCACCACTCAAGATATGCACCTCTTTTTCAATCCTAATGCAAGTCAGTCCCTAATAGCTAGTTCACAGGACAGGATACAACAGCTTACAGCAGGCTGCACTTGATGTCACTTCTTTCTAGTGATCTGAGATAGACCAAAGCAAATTAGAGTATAGTAAGTCAACAAGAAGATTTTTTTTCTCAGATATAATTTTTTTTTTAATATTCCAGAATGAACCCAAAATGTGGCTTTCAATCTAGCAAAGAGTTGTGGTCAACTAGGCCAAAGATGCCAGGTTTCACTTCCTTACCTCTGTCCATCTGATGACTTTTCCATTGGCTTTATACTCTGAGCCATGAAATATCTTCACATTTGTTATAGACTCCATGGACTTTCCATCTATAGGACTTATGATACTGAAACAGAGAAAGAAAATGACATGTCTTCTCAAGTCTATTAATTATACCAGGTACCTTAATGACCACTCTTCATCACAGGAAGAAGCCACGGTACAAAAGTAGACTAATAGTGGCCTAATGGGACAAGCCTATGCACTAAAATAAATCAGAGAACACACATACAAAAATAGAGGCATTTCTCCAGGAGTTGGCACTTTCTTTTTTAAAGCAGGGTCTTGCTGTGTGCTCCAAGCTGGTCTTGTGGCCCAACTCCTGATCCTTCTTGTCAGCCTCACATTACAGGAATGTGTCACCAGGCTGGGTTCAGGAGCTGGCTCTCTTAATGAAAACAAATGTAATCAAACTTGCTCTTCCAGCATTCCTCCTCTCTTTGAATGTATGGCTACTCAACCAACTTTTTCATTCTTCTCTTACCTCTCTTAACACTTACCATGTAATATTCATCATACGTTTGCAATCTGCATTACAAATGAACTTCTGAAGGACAGGGAGCATGACACAATCACTTCTCTGTGTTATATTTGCACGACTGACCCAATGTTTGGAACTTAGGAGCTCAATGCATGTTTATTAAAGATTATTTGACCAAGTATGTTAATTATATCAGTGCTGTTGTAAACTGATAAACCAGGACCTATGTATTTATCAAACAAATTCTCTCAGTGCTGTTATAGATTCCAAGTAAGTATGTGGTAAGGATCTGAAATGACTAACACAAAGGTTCTAGGCTCTTTCTAACAACTTTCAGACCTGATTGGTCTTGATTCTTTGTATATTAAAAGTCAAATTAAACATCAGGCATTCACTTCATTCTCTCAAGATTACTTCACCAACATAAGTTAAAGTTTTAATTCATCAGGCAACAATATAAAAGAAACAAGGCACTCCAGGGGCTGAGATGGAGCTCAGTGTAGAACACATGCCTAGCATGATCTTGGCCCATGTTCAATGCCCTATAACACCTTACCCCACACAAAGGCACCCTCAGTAGACTAGCATGCTTTGAAGCAAAAAAGACATTCAGGAACAAGCTGGAAACATTGTGTTTATACATTACAAAGAGAACAAGTGCCAGCATGTTCCCTGGCTTTTTTTTTTGGGTGAAATTTTTTAAAAAATTATTTGTGTGTGTGTGTGGCCAGCTCAGCCCACCAGGGGGCGGGGCTGGCTGGCATGTGGTGCTGGGGGATTGAACTGTGGTCCCCGTGCTTTGCTAAGCTTGTTCCAAGTAGGTGCTTTAGACCACTGAGCCATCTCACCAGCCCCGTGGTTGAATTGTTTTTTAGGGGAAAGTTTATTTTTTGTTTTTGGTGCTGAGGACTGAACTCAGGGCTTCCAGCTTGCTAGGCAAGTGTTCTACCAATGAACCAAATCCGCAGCCCAACCCAGGCTACTTTTTGTCCCGCTTTCTAAGCAGCTGACACAGCTGCTATAGGGAAAGGCATTCTGCTGTTGTCAACTGACACCTTTTGGCACAAAATTTTCTGATTGAGCACTTTTGTTCCTATTAATTACATTCCTTTCCAAATATGAAAGACTTAAATATAAGCTGATTTTGAAAATGAATTTTCTAATGAAAGACAGGAAGATAAAAGGTTACCTATAAAATACACACATATTTATTAATTAATTGGACACTGCTTCTTTTTGGCTGGAGGGAGAGCTCGGTGGTAGTATATGCTTGGGCCTTGGGTTTTATAGGAAGGAAGATGGAAAACAAAATTGCTTTATTTAAAATAATTTTAATGAAAAAAATCTGCATGCTATGTTCTAAATGTTTTTACCTTTCTTTACTCCTAATATCCTCACAACATTCAAGAGGCCTTCTGTCAAAGCCTTGTAGCAAAGGCTATTCTGTCAGACTCAGCTAAAGCACCAGCTATTTATCTGCTGAGTCTTTCCTGAACTGTCCTACCACATTCACCAGATTTCTTGTTTTTTTTTTCTTTTTAGAATTTTTATATTCTATATAGTAGTTTAATTCACCATCTTTAATACACTGACATACTCATTTATTTGTAACTACAAAACCAGATTGAATCACTCATTGGCAGGGGCACAGAATTCATTTTTACCTTTCCTTTTTCAGTGCTGGGATTGAACCCAGGACCTCACACATGCTATGCATATACTTTATCATCCAACTACACCTTAGCTCCTGGAATTCAATTTTGTATTTCCAATTTTATCATATGTGCTGCCAAAGCAAGGAGTTCTGTATTGCCAGAATTCTGACATAGCCTGAACGGATGGATAGGAGGATGGGTAAATGAATGGATGGAATGTAAGAATGGTTACACAATGAAGTACGGCATATTTATTTAATCTATTTAAACTACTACTAGATGCCAGATAGTTTTTTAGGTGCTGGTGATATAACAGTAAATAAAACAGATAAAAATCCCTGCCTTCATGCCAGGGGCAGTGTAGTTAAATAAACGAAAATATTTGGACTGGGGAGGTAGCTCTGTGGAAAAAGTGCCTGCCTAGCAAGCTTAAGGTCCTGAGTTTGATCCCCTGTACCAAAAAAAGAAAAAAAAAAAGAAGAAAGGAAAAGAAAATATTGTGTCAGAGCTGGGTATGGTGGTGCACATCTGTAATCCTAGCACTTGGAAGGCTGAGGCAGGATGATTGCAGTAAATCTGAGGCAGCCAGGGCTATACGATGAATTTAAAGCCAGCCTGAACTACATAGCAAGACTCTGTCTCAAAAACCAAAAAAACAGAAAGAAAAAAAAAAAGACCAAAAACCAAAACAAATATATATATACAGAGTCCAACAAAAAAGTGTATATATCTTCAGGAAAAGAATAATAGTATGATGTTTCTCAAACAGATGGTGTTACCCTCATTTGGGGGAACCTACAGGATGCCATATGTTGTAGAAAACCCACTACATTGCTAGCGCTTAGAGAAGCTGAAAACGCATGTTCAACAATCCTGATGACCAAGGCTACTCAAGCAAGCAGCAGTGTGCTGTACTTCTAAATGTCTGGAATCTAATGGCCATCACTAGGGCCAGCGAGATAGCTCAACAGCCTAAGTACCTGCTTAGTCAAGTGCAGGGATGGGTTTGATCCCCAGCACTACATGTCACACCACTGGACCCTGGGTGGGCTAAGCCTGCCACCAAGACTGGGCATGGTGGCACATGCCTGTAATTCCAGCACTGAGGAGGCTGAAACTGGAGGATCACTAGAGTCCTAGCTGCATACTGTGACCCTGTACTAAATACTTTAAAAAAAAAGAAAGTAAAATAAAATAATGGCCACCACTTTGTAATTGTAGAGGCCAAAAGTAACTTTATTAATCTCATGATGGTTCAATAAACTTAGTATTAAAATATTTATACAAGTTTTCTTTTCCAGATGTATACATTCTATATGTGCATGTATACGTGCGCGTGCGTGTGTGCATTTTTTTAAACATTCAGAGAGTTACAATACTACTGAGAAATATAATGCTGGGCAGGGGGTAGAAAATATCACTAGGAGAGAGAAATGTATATGATAGGGCTAAAGTACAGATGAGTTAATCAGGAAAGAATGTACTGAGAAAGTGACACTTTGGATAAGATTTGGAGGGGAGGGAATGATTTATGTGGCTATCTGGAGAAAGAGGGTCAGCTAGGAAGTATAGCTGTGGCCAAGTATGATGAAAGTTAGTGCTGCTTCTGAGAAGTAACAGGATGGAAAGAGGGATGCACAGGTTGTGCAGGGCCTTACAAGTTCTAAATGACTTTGACTTTTTCCTGCATAACACCGGAAGCCACTGGGAAGTCTAAGCAGGGACATTACTCTGGCTATTGTAACTAGACAAATACTAGATTGGGAGGCAGGAAAAGGCCTAAGCTCCAAACCAGGAAATAATTAAGAGCCTAATGCAATAATCTGGATCAAATGAGTAAGTGGCCTACACTAGGATGGTAGCAGTAGAGGTGATGAGAAGTAGTATTCTGGGCATATTTTGAAGTACAGAGAACAGGATTTGCTCTTGGATTGAGGTGGTATATGAAAGAAAGATGAGATTAAAAAAGACATCAAAGTTTGCACTTCAGCATTAGAAGAGAGCTGTCATATAGTACACTGGGTAAGAGTATAGGATCTGAAGCACAAGGAAGTGATTTTAAATCTAATCTGGTAAGTTATTTAGCCTTTTGGTACTTATTTAATTATATATCATATAAAATGAAACAATATTAGAAAAAAGGCTTTTTCTTTTCTTCCTTTTGTTCTCTGCCATGTATACAGTTCATGGCTAGCTTTAAACTCCCAGGGATCCTCCTACCTTAGCCTCCCAAATGCTGGGATTACAGGCTTGCACCACCACACCAGTCTAGGTATTTCTATTATCTCAGTAATTTTTGAAGGAATGTTTTTTGTTTAATTAATTATTCCCCTTATACTTTTTTGTTTGTTTTTTTGTTTTTTGTTTTTTGCGGTACCAGGGACTGAACTCAGGACCTTGCACTTCCCAGGCAAGTGCTTACTTTACTGAGCTATCTCCCCAGCCCTCCCCTTATACTTTTCTCAAAAGTAATTATAGAAACTCCTTCAGAAATTAAGCTAACACACCAGACACTTAGAATTCTATGTTATACAGTACTTTTTCTCAGGTGGGCTTTCTGTAAAACTGTAAAAACACCGCAAGGGATGAGGGTGGCTGCATTTACCCCTTGTTAACATTCTTGTCGTCATCCACCCACTGGATGTGGATGTGCTCCTGGGGATCCTCTGCATCCACCTTCCCACAGGTGATGGTGAAGTCCTTCATCTCTCGAAGTGCCTGCCTCAGTGCATCCATGTTCTCAGCAGTGATCTGGACCATGACGCCATCTAAGAATCAGTACCAAGATAATACAGATGGAAACAGCACAAAGCCAGGGAAGGGCCAGATGAAATACAGCACCTGGTATCTAGCAATAGTAAATGTAAAATCTCTGATATTAAATGTAAACTTTTGTTCTGCTCTCTTGTATCTAACAGATACAAGATTTTGTTGAGCAGAATCTCTTTACTTTTTGAAAAAGCCCTGAGAACAAACACCATGATGGACTCCGTTTAAACACTTACCTGTTAATTTCATTTCAGATACCACTACAAGTTTCTCCTGAGACTCAAAGAAAAAACTTACAAATGGTTACTTTGCTCTCTTGGATTTATGGCGTATTTTGTTATACCTTTTGCATTTACCATGCTCTGATTTCTTTGTATCTCTATCTCATCTTACTATGATCATCTGGCATAGAGTTAAACACCCTTGTTAACATGTGATGTTCATTAAGTCATCAAATAAACAATAGTAATAGGCGTAGAAATAAATCCATTTATTGACAGCCAGTAAGGCAAAGCTACAACAGAGTAGCTAACTACTTTTTGGCAGCTGGCTACCTCAGTCATAGGTAAACACTGAAATTGAGGATAACGTTGTCATTGGTAAACAATTAACCTGGTTTGCTGACATTTTTGTCTCCTGAGATAATTTCTAAAGAGCCTCAATAAAACTTTATAACCAGGCAGTCAGCCACATGTTTTACTAAACATACCATGAAATACAAGACCTGGGCCAGTGTAATAGCTCAGTGGTCTAAGCACTTGCTTAGGCAAGTGCGGGGACCAGCTTCGATCCCCAGTACAGCATGCCACGCTGGCCCCATGCCCAGGGCACCCTGAGCTGGTGACCATGTGCTGGCATGGTGGCACATGCCTGTAATCCCAGTAGGAGGAGGAAACAGGAGGATCACTAGAAGTCCAAGGGTAATAACACCCTGTACCAAATACACACACACATACACACACACACACACACACACACAGAAAGAAATGCAAGACCCAAGAAATTCTCACCCATAGACTTTAAAAAAATACTACTTTGCATTTGTAAGTATGTGTCAGTTCAATTTATCATTTTACCAGCATTTAAAGGATGTTCTTTAACTACTTCATAAAGACATAACAATAGTCTACACTTGGGGGCTGGCGGGATGGCTCAGTGGTCTAAAGCACCTACTTAGAACAAGCTTAGCAAAGCACAGGGACCGCGGTTCAATCCCCCAGCACCACATGCCCACCAGCCCTGCCCCCTGGTGGGCTGAGTCGCACACACACACACACTAAAATATAAAAAAAAAAATTTAAAAAAAAAACAATAGTCTACACTTGATGATACAGGTATTTAATTAGTCACTTCAGACCAAATGAGACTATTCAACTCCTAAGTTCGTGTCTGTCTGTCTGGCTTGCTTGCTTTCTTGTTTTATTTTTGGATACAGTGTCTGCTATTTTGTCCAGGCTTGTCTCAAACTTCTTTTTTTTTTTTTTTTTTTTTTTTGGTGGAACCAGGGATTGAACTCAGGCCCTTGCACTTGCCAAGGAAGCACTTATTCCACTGAGCCATCTCCCTGGCCCTGTCTCAAACTTCTGAGTTCAAGTGATCCTCTGGTCTCAGCTTCCCAAGAGTCTAGACCTACAGGGGTGTGTCACCATACCCAAATACTTAACAATTTATTTTAAAACCATATAAATTATTATGTATCGCAGCACATATCAATAAAGAGAAAAGTATAAAAATACTCCAAGGCTTAAAAACATTAGAACAGAACTGCCACATACTGGGAAAGAGCAGAATAGGATTTGAAGTACAAAGAGGTGATTTTAAATCTAATCCTGCCACATTCTAGCTTTGTGGTAAGTTATACCAATAAAATATGTTTGTGACACATAACAATCGCACTTATTTGGAGACACTGGTACATCAATATATTGTATCTTGAGCATTTTTGACCTTTCTTTCCCCTCCACTCCTTCCCCATCTCCAAAAAGTCTACTTTCCCGTTTCCTGCTATCTCTCTTTTTTTTACTGTTTAATTTATTTACATTTACATGTATTGATATTTAACCTTTGTCTGGTTTAATTCACTTAATACTGTGACCTTAAGATCTATCCATTTTCCTAAAAATGACTCAAATTTATCTTTTCTTATGGTTCCACTGTGTATATATACCACATTTTCTTTCCCCATTTGTCTGTCAATGGCTAGCTAGACTTTTTTTTAAAAGTTATTTTTTCAGGCAGGGTCCTGTTATGTAACCCAGGCTGGCCTCAAATCTGTGATATTCGTCCCTTAGCCTCACGAAGTAGTAGTACTACAGGTGTGCACCACCACACCTGGCACATTTCACAACTCTTGACTACAAAGCAAAAAATGGCTGGGCATAGTGGCACATACCTATAATCCCCAGCACTCAGGAAGCTGAGGCAGGAGGTTTGCATGAATTCTGGGCCAGCCTGAGCTACGTAGTAAGTATGTATGAGACTTTGTCTCAAAAGAATCAAAGAGAGAAAAAGAAATTATTAAAGCTAGATATGATGGAGCATACTTGTAACTCGAACAATCAGCAGGCTGAGGCAGGATTGCAAGTCTGAAGCCAACCTTGGCTACATAACAAAGCCATGTCTCAAGAAAGAAAAAAGATTTATGAAATTTAATTGTAAAATATTGATGTCCTCTGTACTTCACTCACTGTTTTACTAAATTTATCAAAAAAGATGAAAGTCAAACTCCATAAATATATGTAAGATTTTTCATTTCAAGTAATACACTAGAATCCAGCCTTGTCTGTAGATAGGACCTTAAGGTGAGCCATTGTGCACATGAAAAGTCATCCTATGTGGTTACTTTCCCTATGCTCTTCTACAATGATGCCATCACATTTCCCCATCAAAAATTGCAGCCAGGGCTGGGAATGTAGCTCAGAGGCACAATCCTGCCTGGCAAGCATGAGGTCCCAAATTTGATTCCCAGTTATTCCCACCCACCCCCCAGAAAAAGTAGCATCAAACTCCTCTCCCTCTACTAGAGTCTGGTGGAAACAACACTCTGGTGTTCAAGGCTGAGTCAAAAAAGGCAATGTAGCTCTTACCTCATTGCTGTAACACTTTTGTCTGGAGGTCTGAACCACCAAGGAAGGAGCCCAGACATTCCAGGGTGCCCACCATGCTGAGTAGGAGTAAGTACTCCAGTCGTTGTGCCTAGCATTTAAAGTAATCCCAGGCCAGGACTCAACGTGTGTGAGCAATATTTTAGATAACTAGCTTGCTGCCATCAAAATAGTCCCATTTTTAAGTAAACCCAACTGAGATACCCCAAAACATCATGTAGCAAAGTAAACCTATATCCCTGCACAGTCCTGTCAATATGCCACATAAGAGGAATCAACCAATATGATAATATGGTTGTTTTGAGTTGTTTTAAGCCATTAAATTCTGGGTAATATGTGATATAACAAAAATAACCTGGACAGGGTATGATCAAGCATAGAGAACAAAGTGAATACAGTGTGTCAATCAGTCTTTCATTTAATTTAAATTTATTAGAATGTGTCATGTCTAATTATAATAAACCCATAGCAAGCCCATCTCATTCTGTACCTCAAATGAGGACACTGTATTCTTGTAAGACTTCACTGAACATTTACATATCTGCATCCAATGCTATCTCTGTTCTCACATGCACACACCACAGTACCTCCACACACAACTATGAAAGGCCATCTCTTAATTTTTATGTGTCTGTCTCACAATATCTACCACTGACTCCCTTTTTGGAGAACTAAACACTCTCATAGCAGTTTTAATTTGCTGAAGAGTGAGATGTCACTGAATAAATAATAGGGGTTTGACATCAACAGTAAAAGCAGTGAGGTTTCTCTCAATGTTCCCTGTTTGTCAGTTGTATCACTGAGATTGAAACAATACACATGCAGCAAAAAAAAAACCTCATTCTTTACCTTCCACAATACTGGACTTGGCAAGGTATCCTGAAGAGGATTTCAGAGCACCACTAAACACAAAGAAACTGGCACCAGTCACTAAAAAAAACAGAAAAAGTTTCATGAAGACAGACCCTGAGATAGAGGTATTTAGAATAATAATGAAATATTTGCTAACTGGGAAATAGAAACATTATACAGAAACTTTCAAAAAAATCACTTAATCTATATACTATAATATACAAGTAACTAATAATTCTCATGTTTATCACAGATTTGGAAAGGAAGTCTTAAGGTTTGTTTTTTTCCCCTCTTCCTCAAATCAAGAATCAAAGAACCTCAGAGGCTAGGAGATCTTAATAGTCCAGGGTGTAGTAAACTGAGATCATCTGCAGCCTACTTCTTCTTCTTCTTTTTTTTTTTTTTTTCAGAACCAGGGATTGAACTCAGGCCCTTGCACTTGCCAGGGAAGCACTTATTCCACTGAGCCATCTCCCCGGCCCGTCTGCAGCCTACTTCTGTAAATGACCTTTCATGTAAATTGAACATAGCTATGCCCATTCATTTATATATTGTCTAAACCAGTTTTGTACTACAACACTAGATTTGAGTAACTGTAGCAAATATTAGAGATCCACAAAGCTTAAAAAAAGACTATTTTTTAAAAACAAACATCATTACCCTGATCTTTTCATAAGAGAAGATGTGCAATTACATTTAGCTTTATGAAAATGTTACTGCAATGTCATTTTCCTGCATCTTAAATGGAACTGGGCTAATGCAACATGGCCCCACGATCTCTCTGCCAGGTGGGCTCCCAGCCTTTGCCAGATACTGCTAGTGAGGGGGACCCACAAGAGCATAGGGCCACCCAGTCTGCTTTCAACAAGATCACTGTTACAGAGCATGCTCTTAAATTGAGCCCAGATCTGGCTCCCTGTAACTTTTGCCATTGCATTTTGTAGCAACAGAGAATAAGCTGAATCTTACTTTCACATAGTAAATAACTAAAAAATTAGATGTAGCTATTTCCCACCACCCTCTTCCAGTGTATTCCTTTCAGTGTTAGACATTTATAAATGTCTTTATTTAAGTCTTCCTTAAATAAGGACTGCTGTTTCTCACAATCATCCTCTGGACCCAATCTAGTTTTATCAATATACACCCATTAATGATAGCCAGAACTTATTCAAATATTCTAGATGTGATGTCATTAATAGAGAGCATTGTGAATGTACCACTACTTTATTTTGTATATTGTATTTGGATGTATATGTGCTAAATGCCTTCTATGCCTTTACTGAACAATTGATTTAAAAAATACACTGAAGATAGTGGTTTATAATAAGCTTATTAAAGAAGTTTACAAAACAAACATAAGACATAAGTTTGTAAAGAACTAGATATTATTTTCCTCTTATAAAATCAGAATACTCACAGCTTACTAAATGGTCTGAAAAGTCCAGTGGTAAAGAAATTTGTTTAGCACAGTTTCTCTGATTTATTAAGGAAGATTGCTTTATTTATTTATTTATTTATTTATTTATTTATTGGGGGGGCGGATACTGGAAATTGAACTCAGGACC